CCCTCCATCCCAGCCTCCTCAGTCTGAGTGTAAAGAGTGGCGAACTAGCTTCTGTGTTACTGATGCCTGTGTTGGCAGTGTCTGTGCTGTACTCCCAGGCCAGGGGCAGAGTAGGTTTCCTGATACATACTGGGATTATGGGGATGGAAACACCTTGTTCTACATAGCGCTGGGGAATCCTTTTTAGGGCTGAGCAAGCTGCGGTCACTGAACAAACTCACTGATGGAAGGTGAGGAGGAGAACTCGGAGGTGAACCAAACTGTCTGCTTCACCTTAGAGGGGAACATCCTGTGAACAACCGCATATGCACACATGCAGCAATGTTCCTTCCAATCTTTTCCATCCGTATGTGGATTTTTTTCCATTCATGTGTGGAATACATTTTATATGCACAAAGGCATGTGTGAATGTGCACGACTAGTAGAAACAAAACCTAGTTGTGGGCCCTCTGCTAATCAGCTGGGCAGCATTTGAGTCTCTCCTGAGCAGCTCCACAGTGCACAGCTTGCAGGGAACACTGACATGCAGTAGAGACGCACATGACCTACATAGTACACAGATACCCTAGCAATGGCAGCCATGCAGATGCTGTACACACTGAAGACATGCATAAAAACACATACAACACAAACACATTATCCACAGATCCCAAGCCCAAAGGGCTGTACACACAAAATGCATTTGCACAAACCACAGGAACACAAAAGTTACACACAAATCACCTAATTCCTACAGGTGCTATGCAAACGGAACTTAACCACATGCACACAGCAACCCCTCAAAACATACATCGACTTCCCCATGCTCATACAGATGCTATGAATACAGAACATATTTACATGCACACACAACACACCTCTGCACATACACACAAATTACACACACATTACCACACTCACACAGATGCTATGCATATAGAACATATTCACATGTTATGGTCGTGCAGAGGCTCCATGCAAACAGAAAACATTCACAGATGCATACGCCACACACACGTTATTCACAGTGGTCCTACAGAAATACATGTGCACTCATGCATAACATTGTTGATGCATGTGCATGAGTGTGTGTGTCATGCACCACACACACGTGCATACACATAAAGCAGCATACTCACTTGCAGCCCTGCAAACACAGCACTTAGACACACATGCGCCTTCGCTCTCTCATTCTTTGTTTGACAAGCTAACGTGATTTTGCCGTGTCATAAAGCCCAACAGCAGATGGCAAGGAGGACAGGTTAGGGTGACAGCTCACAGCTCCACCGGCAACTCCTATCCTTGCTTAGCTCAGCTGAAGATCTACCTTGCTGCCTGTATGAGAGAGGACTTCCCCCGGCTACTGCAAGAAACACGGACTACAGAGCCCTGTGAAAGTGCCCTGCCTACAGAGCTTTCACTGGAATAGCTGTCAGCACTGTACGGGGCTATAATGGGGGCCAGCAGCAGCCACTAGTGTGGGTTGCATGTGTCGGCTTTGTCTGGTATCACAAGCGTGTCAGCCTCTGCTCCGATGTGCTGTCTCTCCTCTCCCCTTGAAGCTTGCATTATTTATCACCTGTAATGCAAAAGAGATGTTAACGGAGAACGTGAAGAGGGGAAGGCATGCAGGTGCAAGCGAGGAGGGAAGGGTACCTACCACAAGCCAAATCCTCAGCACTGCGGCTCCCCCACAGGCCAAAGGGCAAGGAGAGGGTTCCTGGAGAGAGCTGGCATTACAAGCAGAGAGGGAATTTGTTTTGGTACAACTCGGGGTGAATGTGGGGCTCCCCTAGCCCTCTGTCCCCTTTTGTGGGGCAGCATGAGCCGGATCAGAATTTGTGTCTGTGTTGGAGGGGGAAGGGGGCAGTGTGTGAGATAAGGAGTCTTGTGTGTGTTTAGGAGTATGAGGTGGTGTGGGAGTATGGTACGGGGGGTGTTTGTGTTGGCTTGGCAGTTTTGTGAAATAGTGTTTGCGTGTCTCAGTAACTGTGTTGATGCTTGTATGTGTGTGTCATTTTCTGTTTGTGCTTATCAGAGCAGACAAATAAACACACACACACAGAGCTGTATCTTGAGGGCCTTCCATTTTTCCTAAGCCCTCGCTCAGGGAAATCACTCACTGATGTCACTGCGAAGTCTGCCTTGTTAGGGAGTTGTTCAAGCTAGGGCTGGCTTGTGTCCAGCCCTGCAAAGTCCTGTTCTCTAGTCTCCCAGTCCAGGGGTTCCTCCTCTACTCTACCGAGCTGGAGTTGGGGAGGGCAGGAGCTGCTCCTCCTTGCACCAGCAGACTGGATCAGATGTAGGCTGCACTTCACTTTTCCAAAGGTGCAGTGTGTGCTGTAGTATGAGCTCCTGGGACCATTCCTGTGCTTGAGTCAGCACAAGCCCCCCTAGAACTGCTGCAGGGTGGGATGTGTGTGGGGGGGACACGACACTGCACCTCTAGCCTCTCCCTCACTGACTGCTGAGAATTGAAGAGTTGGCTCCTTGCCTTTAGTGAGAACTTTGCCTGTTCAAAGGCTTCATGGTTTGCTTGCTGTGCCTGTGCCTCCTGCCACAAAACCGCATGTGCACACAGGGCGAGATTCCAAACTGGGCCAGTAACACTGACCTCATCCCCTGCTGACACGAGGGCTGTGCTGTGCTCCGGGGCTGTGTGCTCACAGCTACACATGCTGCATGTTGCGTTTCTGCTCATACAGACACAATACTGTACAGGTACCGGAACACTCGCCTCCCCCACCCATTCACACCCACATGATCCAAACAGACACAATCTCATGCAGCCAGCCACCTACCCAACACCCAAACCCCTACGCTGTATGTGTTGCTTCACCTTCCTCCCCCGAGCCAGTCCATCCATGTTCACATTCACACCCAGCCTGACACCCCCATACATCATCCAGGCGCATCCACACACGCACCGACGGGCATTCTCTCTAGTGATGCACAGACGCACTCACATGTGACCTTTCACAGAGCCCCTGCTTTGCCACAGTCATGAACTCTGAACCTCGCGCAGTGACTTCCCATGCGGGTTAGCAAGCCTTACAGAACATGTTCTTGGTATCCCTCGCACCCAGCCTGCTTGCATCTCTCTGCCACCCATTCCTTTGTCTCTCTGTCCCTATTGCGACCTAGAAGAAACTGTCGTTCTCCCCTCCAGCCCCCCACCTTCCATTAGGGTTCACGCATTACTTCACTGCCTTTAGACTTTGCAGTCACATCCCTTGATGCCGCTATTAGCCAGTTTCACAGTACTCCGGGCTGGTGGGACCTCGCACTCTTCTATGCATACAAATTATACCCATCCGATGCCAATGGAAAAGAGGAAGAAAGAAGGCAGGAGGGAGGAGTAGGAATGTATGTAGGATGCTTTTTGAGCTGTTCAGTCACTGAGCTGTAATGTACATTGGTGGACAGAGAGATGACAGTGCTGGGAGGCTGGAGAAATGGGCAGATCCAGAATACAAGGATAAAAGCTAGAGGAGCAGAGACAAAACTAACTAGGTGCAATTGTGTGTGTGAGTGAGAGAGAGTGAGTGCACACATGCAGGTATACAGAGCAATACACTGATTTTCGGACTAAGTTCCTTGTTACACCTATTTGGAGAATGTTACTTGTTTGTATGTAGGGGGATGTGTTGGTGTTGTGGGTGTAGTCTGTTTGTTTCTGGTGTATGTGTGGTGGCTTGTTTGTGTAGTGCTATTTGATGAAAAATATATGTGCAGAAGTGTGTTAATGTATATTGGTGCTTGTGAGATGTATATTTGTACTTGTGTGGTGGTATATGTTTGTGCAGTAGTTTTGGGTGTTTATTTTTGTTTGTTCTAAGTTTGTGTGTTATGTAAGGTTTGTATGTGTAGTATATTATGTGATAGACGTTTCTGAATGACAGTGTTTATACACGTATCCATGTTTGTGTGTGGAGGTTGTTTGGTATGTGTTTGTTTAATGTGTTTGTGTGGTGGGGTGTGTGTTCAAATGGTTGGTGTGTATTGTGTAACGGTGAATGTGTGATGTGTTTGTGTTTGGCATGCATTTGTCTTTGTCAGACAGTGTATATATGTTGTGTGTAGGTTGCACAAGTATTTGTGTGATAAGTATCTGAAAGAACATGGTTGGCTGTGTGTACATATATGTGTATGTATGTTTTGTGGTGGGGTGGGCAGGCATGTTGTGTATGCGTGAGAGGACTGATGAGCCTCATTCTGTGGGTCGTGATTTGGATTTGTATGTGTGTATATGAATGCGTTGGTGTGTGAAACTGTGGGGGGGCTGCTTATGTCTGGGGTGGAATATGAGTGGATTGGTGTTCAGGGTGTGTGCAAGGCTGTCTGTGTTTGTGTGCATGGGTGGTCTGTGTGTAAATGGAGGGTGTGAGACTGGGTTTTTTATCTGTCTGGCTGGTGTATTTGTGTATTGAGAAATTGTTGAGACAGCAGGGGGTAGTATATGTATTGGGCTAATGAGTGTGCATCAGAAAGTTGCTGTGTGAGACTGTGTGTATGACGCGTGCAGGGTGGTGTGGATATGCACAGTAAGTTGGTGTGTGTGACATTGTGAGTGTGTCTGTGTGTATGGGGGTATAGTTATATTTTGCCCCTGCAGGGATCAGTCAGACAGTGGACCCTTTCTGTTCCCACCCTGCCAGGTGCTGGCTCACGTCTCCCACTGGTGGGACTGCGCACGCCTTAGGATAGAGGCCACGCTCCCCCCCATGCTTCAAGGATCTTTCCCTCAGACCGTCTGTCTGCCCCTCTGTTTGTGTCCGCTTGTCTCTTCCCATGATCGCTGACATGCCCCTGCTAGGTTACACCCTGCACTGCCTGTGGGCTCCGCAGCTGTGCTTCTTACTTCTCTCTCCTGTCTGAGGCGTGCGCGCGCGCGCACACACACACACACACACTCTGGATAGTCATCTGTGGTATATTTGGTTGCCATTGGAAACCTAAGAAAGAAATGAATATCCCCTCCAAGTCTTAGGCTGTCTTTCTCCCCTCCCTGTTCCTTGCAGAAGGCGAACACTTTCGCAATGAAATTGTGGCAGGTTTGGTCCATCAAAGAGCCGGAGCAACGAGCCAACGCCTGCTCCCCTGTGTGACCGAAAGAGTCCTTTATATCGCTCTGTGTGGACGGAAGGGGAGCGGATTTACCTGCCTTTTCCATGCACCCCAGCATTCAAAGCAAAGCATCCCAAGGTAAGGAAACCTAATTGTGTGTGTGTCTTTGTCACTCGGTCCCCAGAGGTAGGGGTGGGAGGCCTGAGCTTCTGCAACACTGTTGATTGAATCAATGCTTAAACAGATACCTGTGGTAAGGGGTTGTCCCACCTCCCCATCACAGTGCTGCAGGCATGGCAGGGGAGGGGCCTTTTGCAAATCTGTAGGAGGAAGCCGTGCAGGTTGCTGCCCGTAATCCAGAGCTTTCTGTCTCTCCCCTCTCCTCCCCCCACATGCCTCTCTCACTTCATCTGTTGCCCCCCAACTCTCCCCACCCCCTATTTCTTAAGAGAAGGGACAGAGATTTTTACATTGCTCAGCAGAGAGGTAGGGGGCAGTGTGTGGTGCCTCCTCTCACTGTGCACCCTCGCGTGATGTTAGGGGCGCACTTGGCTACAGGCGTCGCCTCTCACAGCAGTATACTACGGGGTGCTGTACTGCAGGAGGAGCGCGGTCCCAGCATGGCCCTGGATGGTGGGAGAGAGAGTTTTCTGGAGTTCACTGTCCATCTGAACTTAGACCGTCTCTTGCACTCTGGACATCAGCATGGCATTAGGGCTTTCTTGCTGTCAGAGGCACCATCCTCCATCACATCTGTAAGCTCCCTCTCTCAGAGCAGCAGTTTGGTCTTGGGAGGCCTCCTGGAGCTGGGAATTGAACCCAGGAGTCCTGGCACCCAGCCCCACCTCTCTAACCGACTAGACTTCTGTTCCCTCTCAGGGCTGGCGCTAACACCCAGGAGTCCTGGCTCCCAGGCCCTCCCTCTCTTTTGAACTTAGCTTGGACACATCCCATCTCTGCGCACCCCTTCTGAGCAGCCCAGCGTAACTCTTGCAGGCGATGCCCTGCTGACAGTGCTGTCGGTTACTATCTAGGGATAAGGGATGTTGTGCTGTGCTTCATAATCTGGGCATGCTCCAGTGCCCCAGCACAGCATGAGGAGGGACACTGCTGGTGCAGGGGCTGATCTTCATCATCAGACCCTGCCTGGCCTGTGCCCCATGTGCAGCTATGAGTCCTGCCCTCAGTAGCTGGGTGGGCTCCGTCTCCCAGGGCAGATGCCAGGAGCTGCTGTGTTGCTGGGAGATCCACCCTTTGCATATCCCGTACCATGCCTCCAACTCCTTGGGCCTAGAGAGACCAGTGGCACTATTTCCAGCTTGGCAGTGGGTTGACCATGCTGACGGAGCTGTCGTCCCTAGCGTGGCACAGAGGTGGGAAGCGGGTGCTGCTAAGTTGCTGTCGTTTGTGGCTTCCGACTCCCAGTAGTCTGTTGCAGAATGAGGGGGAACTGTATGGATTGACCCACAGTCTTCAGAATAGGAGTGAGGAGTGTTGTGGTGCTGGAAATGCTGTTCCTATTGTGGTGGTAGGAAGCGCTGAACCTGTGGTGCTAAGCCAGGTGCCCTGTGGCTCAAGGGACTGTCCCCATGATACTAGGGACAACCTGTGGCTGTAGGGACCTTCCCTGTGGTGTTAGGGGAGTCCTGTAGCTGTAGGGATTGTCCCTGTGGTTGAAGGAACTGTCCCTGCTGTGCTACGAGATGCCCCGTGGCTGTAGGTAGTGTCCCCACAGACCATGGGGATGTGCTAGTGCGAGAGGTGCTGTATCAAGGTGCTATGGTCATGGCTGGATTACTGCAGTCAGTGACCCTTGGCTCATAGTGACATTGTGGCTGCCTCCTGGTTTCCACCTGTACTTGGAGCGGTGGCGGCGGGGGCTTCTCCCAGAGAGGTGAGGCAGTGGGAGTAGGGGCCCCTTCTCTTTAGGTCCCCTTCTCCCAGAAGGGAAGGTCTGACAGCAGGAGGCCACCCAGTATTTCCCCCAAATTGGAGTATTTGTTTGAGTGGGGGCTGGGCCTGCCACAAACATGTCCTTCAGAGGCTGAGTTCACTGCTGCAGTGGCTTGGTGGTGGGCCAAGGGGCTTGTAGATAATTCCCCACTGAGATGCAGGGGGCAGTTCACACTTATCAAGCTATTGTTTTAGGCTCTCAGCAGACTCTGCACCAGTTTACACTTGGGTGGTGTTTTCGCGGTTCTTGCCTGCTATCCATGAGGACTAGAATTTTTTATTTTTAGCGCAAGCCGATGCATTCTCATGACTCCAGGAGCTGAGGCCCTCGCCATGGGTATGTGGTGCCTATGCTGGAATCCAGCCCTGGCTGGGGCACTGCATGTTCTCTCCTCACCAGGAGGCGAAGGGGCTTTGTGCTGATGTCTGAGCCATGTTGTGGAAAGTACTAGGGCAACGGGTCTCTAACTGTGAAACATTTTAAGGGGTTTCCAAGACTGGCTTACAGTTGCTGAGGGCCCAATTTCAAAGCCCAAGGGTTTCAGCCCTGGCTGGTGGGGCTAAGATTGTAGGCCATGGCTCCCACCCGGAGAGAAGGGGGGCTCAGGCCTCAGTCCTCCTCGTGGGGTTGTGCAGTAATTTTTGTTATCAGAAGGGGGTTGCGGTGCAGCGAAGTTTGAGAATCCCGGCTCTAGGGAAAGTGTGCTGCTGGGGGGCGGTCATCCCCGGTGGCATACTGTAGGCGGGACTGTCCCCATGTGGCACCAGGGAGTGGTTTGCCTCAGGAGCGGCTGTTCCCAAGTGGCACCAAGGGACATTGTGCTGTCAGGGGTAACCTCCCCATCTTGGTGTCAGGGGTACTGTGCTGCATAAGGGGCTGTCCATGTCTTGAACTCTTTTAGTCTTCCAGCTGCTGGTGGATGCGTCTTTATTTATGGTTCACTGTATTTCTGCTCTGTGTATGTGAGAATGTGTATGGTTCCCCAGCCCAGCCCCTCTCTACCTACACAGTGCTCAGCTTGCAGTGTGTATTTGATGAGTAAGAAGGTGGCTGTGTTCTCCTTCCATGTGTCATGCACACCTCTGGCTTTTCTCTTCGTTTGGTGCCATCCCCATCAGCTTTTATCTTCCCTGCTTCAAACTCCCTTGGTTTATATGGAGTGGGAGGGGCTTTCATGAATGCGTGGGATGTCTGTGATTTTTCCCACTGACTGACAATATTCCCAGGCGATCTTCTCCCCATATCCTTCTGGTTCACACTCTTCTGGAGGGTGATGACTGTAATGTCGATCTGTTGTTCTTCTCTGTCTGGGGCATGAACGGGCCGTCGGGGTGGGACGTAGGAGTGAGCAGAGAGCTCTCTGCTATGGATATAATTTCTTTTGGTCGCAGGAAGCATGCTCCCTGCGAGGTGGAAAATCAGAAGGCATTCAGTGCTGGTCAAATGGCACAGCCTCCTGGGGCACCGCTTTGGTAGTGAGTCAGCAAGAAGAGTGCCTCATTCAGAGTCATGCGGACTGCTACTGTGGTACTGCCCAGAGCAGTATTACCTGGGCCCTCAGATCATCTGCCTCCTGCTGGGCTGTGGACATCACCTTTGGTAGCTCTGCGTCCTCTAGCACCAAGCTGGGGTATTGGGGTCAGTGTTGAACGGGGCGGGAGACAGTTTCCCCTGTCTTTGTGTGAGCTCTGCTTAGCTGGGTTGGACGTTGAGCAGAACATGTGCCGTGAAAAGTTAAATGTCATGCATCTGTGTTAAGCCAGCAGGTTGCTTTGGGTATATAGAAGGCAAGTGGGAAGTTGGGAGGTAGAAGGGCCAAACCACACTGGCTCTGGGAGCTTGGGAATAGCGTCAGCGGGCTGCCCAAACACAAGCCTGGCAGCATATGCTTTAGCTGTGCCCTAAAAGTGGGGAGATCGAGATATGCCCTACAGCAGAATGCAGTGCCCCCAGCTGAGCCACCGAGCCCATGTTCAGAGAGCACATGTCCAAAGACTTTAAGCGGGGATTGTAGGGGCATGTTGGCTTAAACCATGTCAGATTTTAAGGAGAGACCATCTCTTGCCGGATCATGGACATACCTCGCCTTGGGCTTTCTCCGAAGGACTGGTTAGTGAGAGAGTGTGTGCTACCCCAATGGGAGACCCTAAATCCTGCTGACAGGTGGTGCGAAAGGATGTCTCCTTCAGTTCAGCTGAGGGGAATCCTCTTGGCAACTACTACTTAGCAGGGAAAGCAATGCAGGTGTTGACTTTAGGGGGACAGCATCAATTTCCCTTTATGCCTCAAGGCCAGAAGGTTGGGGATGGTGTTCTACTGTGTGCCCACCACTTGGGTGTGGTAGTAGAGGCCTGGGATGAATTCTCTCTGTGAAATCAGGAGACAGCACAATGTTCCTGAGTTCTGCTCTCTGCTCCGGAAAGCCCGTTATCTGAGGGAAAAAAAACCCCCTCTGTGTGCCTCAGTTTCCCTATCTGGGAAATGGGGATAGTCATAATTGGCTTACATGAGGCTGCAAAGGGAAAAATATGAATGTTGTGTATGGTGGGGTGATGAACAGGAGACGCAGCTGCTCTCCACAGGAAACTGAATCGGGTGGTACCTTCCTGAGTAGGGCGCTGCAGCAGTGGTGTAGAGGAGAAGGCCCGATGGAAGAACTGTTATGTGCCAGGACTCAAGCAGCAAGTCTCTTAAGCTTCTGTTTGTTTGCAGAGAGAAAGGGTGTTTATGGCCTTGCACTTTGGAAATAGAGTGAAAATTCACTGGCAGTGGGCAGGGATCTTAACTGGGGCTAGCTGAGGGGCTGTGCAGCGTGTGCACCGGGAAACCTGGTAGAGGGCACAAGTGGAGCTGCGCCAACCCTCTCCCACACCCATTGCTGAGGGCATATCGCAGGGGACTGCGATACACCAGGGGACAGAGCCACACATCCAGAGCAGAGAAAGTGCCCACCCAGGGAGAACAACATGATGGGACTAGAGAGAGGGACAGGAGCACAAGGGAAAGGAACATAGGGAAAGGGGGAGAGAAAGGCCTAGCTACTGGAAAAAGGAGTGAGACAGAAAGATACACAGTGGGGGGAGGGGCAGGGGGAGTGAAACAGAGAAAGAGCTGGAGAACTACATGGCAGAAAGGACAGGGGAGTGAAAGGAAGAGGCAGATACCTAGTGAACAGGCAGCAGTG